GCTGCCCAGGTTACCACCCACTTCTACTTCCCCTACCAATTCTTCCTTGTTTGTACGCAGCAGGTCAAGAGGAGCACAGCCCCTAGATGGTTCCTCCAGCACTTGCACCAGGAAGTTGTCCCGAACACTCTCCAAAAACTTCCTGGATTGTTTGTGCACTGCTGTATTGCTCTCCCTGCAGATGTCAGGGTGATTGAAGTCCCCCATGAGAACCAGGGACTGTGATCTGGAAACTTTTTTAGTTGTCCAAAGAAAACCTCATCTACCTCATCCTCCTGATCTGGTGGTCTATAGCAGACGGCCACCATAACATTGCCCTTGTTGCTCTCGTCTCTAAACTTAACCCAAAGATTCTCAACAGGCTTTTCTCCAATTTCATACTGGAGCTCTGAGCAGTCATACTGCTCTCTTACATGCAGTGCAATTCCTCCCCTTTTTCTCCCCCGCCTGTCCTTCCTGAACAGTTTATACCCATCCATGACAGTGCTCCAGTCATGTGAGTTACCCCACCAAGTCTCTGTTATTCCAATCACATCATAGGTCCTTGACTGTGCCAGGACTTCCAATTCTTCCGGTTTGTTTCCCAGACTTCTTGAGTTCATGTACAGGTACCTAAGATAACTAGCCGATTGCCCTGCTTTCTCAGTATGAATCAGGAGGCCTCCCCTGTTGCACTCTCCTCCTTGTGTTTCCTCCCAGTATCCAACTTCCCCACTTACCTCAGGGCTTAGGTCACCATTCCCCCGCAAACCTAGTTTAAATCCCTCCTCACTTAGGTTAGCAAATCTGCCTGCGAAGATGCTCTTCCTTCTCTTTGTTAGGTGGATCCCATCTCTTCCTAGCAATTCTCCTTCCTGGAACAACATCCCATGGTTGAAGAATCCAAAGCCCTCTCTCCGACACACCTGTGTAACCATGCATTTATCTCCACAATTCGATGGTCCCTACCTGGGCCTTTTCCTTCAACAGGGAGGATGGACGAGAACATGACTTGCGCCTCAAACTCCTTCATCCTTCTTCCCAGAGCCACGTAGTCTGCAGTGACCCGCTCAAGGTCATTCTTGGCAGTATCATTGGTGCCCACATGGAGAAGTAGGAAGGGGTGGCGGTCTGAGGGCTTGATCAGCCTCGGCAGACACGCCGTCACATCCTGAATTCTAGCTCCAGGCAAGCAGCACGCTTCGAGTTTCCCGGTGTGGACGGCAGATGGATGACTCTGTCCCCCTTTGGAGAGAGTCCCCAACCACCACCACCCATCTCTTCCTCTTGGGAGTGGTGGTCATGGAACCCCCATCCCTAGTACAATGCATCCCATGCTTTCCGGTCAATGGGGTCTCCCTCTGATCCCAGATAACTCTTCCAAACCATTCTTTGCAGTAGTACCTGTGCAGAGAGCCTGAAAACGGTTTCTGACCTCTATCTGCATTGCGGTTACATAGGTTCTCCTCTTTCTTCTTCTGGAGGTCACATGCTGCCAATTTTCTTCCCCGTTCTGCACTGCCCTCTCTGATTCTTTAGCACGCTGTGCCTGCAGTACCAAACGCTGACTTCTATCCAGAAAATCTTCCTTTCCTCAGATGCAACGCAGGGTTGATACTTGGGTTCTAGTCCTTTAACCTTCTCTTCCAGTATGGAGACCAGTTTGCAATTCATACAGACGAAGTTGCTTCTATCCTCTGGGAGATAGCCTGTGCAGGTCACAACAGTTGATCGCTCCCTATCCATAATGTCTTACTGTGAGCAGTAAATCCAACATCTGAAGCGGCTCTTAGAAGCCTGAAAGGCAAAAAACTCTGTGGGAACTTCCCGCAGGCGAATTCCCAGGCAAACTCCCTCTGTTTCCCTGTCCTCTGTTCGCCACTCCATGACCACATACCTAAACCAGCGACACGCACATCATATCATCTGGGGGAGGAGGGAATGTAGAATTTGACAGTGGTAACATATGTTGACTGTGGCCCAATATGTCAAACCTGGGAATACAGACACCTAAATAAAACTGGCCTGATTTTCAAAAGTTGCTGATCAACCTTGGCTCCCCTTTACATCAATACTGTATACACACCAGGCTTAAATCAAAAGTGGTAACAGCTTAAAGGTGTGATTTTATACCAATTAATTAAAAACTAGTACAACTGTGTGTGTGGACACTCCTGTCTTTTTAAACCTGGTTTGTAGCAGTCTAGCGTGTCTTGGTGAGTGTACAGATGCAAGCTAAACTGATATAAGGGCCCATGCACAAGAAGTTGCATCCGTTTAACTAACCCCATTTTAATTAATTTGGTGCAACTTTTCTGTGAAGACTCTCCCTTAGGAGGTGCACAAGAGTGGGGGCTCCCTTTCTGGGGACCTTGATGTCTGAAAAATGACATGCATTGCCCTGCTTTCCTATGGATATCTTGACATACATGAGGGGAAACCTACTCCTTGAGATCTTAGGTGGTGCATACTGAAACAGGACTCCACCCAAGTAAATTCAGCAGCCATTTGACAAGTCAGTAAGTCTTTTCTGTCTTTGTAATCTGTAAATTATTAACTAGAAGACGCATGCCTCCACAACCTCACAGGTTTTGGGATAATTCCTGGAGGGATGCAGCCCCCAACTACTGCAAGTCTTAGGAGACCAGTTAGCCTCCAACAAGCTAAAATGGATGATCAGACACATGAGTATGTGCAATCTTGTCAGTCTCCCAGTGCCCCTGTTTAGGCTTGTAAGGGGATCACTGAGTCTAATAAAACTCCCAAGCATGTTGAGTGATGAAGAGGAATTTAATTTCCTCAAGTCTGAAATAGCCTGAACAACATAAAGATCAGCACATGCTGCAAAGCTCATCCTTTTCCCCAGGCATTTGAAATCAATGGAAAATGATAAGTGTGGGGAATTGATAGAGAGGGGAGGGTAAGCTTTTGTGCTGGTTTGCTGGTAGTAGATTATATTTAATTGTATTGCTGCAGTTTAGTTACACCTGGATAATAATTCTATTGTATTTCTTAAAATATGTCAAGGGCACCTATAGTGTATGGAAATGCCTAAGTATGCACAAGTCTAAATAAATATTAAAACTTGTGGTGTATGTGGGGGTAGGGTGGGGTGGGGGATAGGATCTGATGGGGTTGTAAGGATCATGAAGATGGGGGAACCTTCTAAAGTTTGCAACAATGGTGGAATGTCCCCGATTCTGCTGCCCCCATGTCCCTTTTTATATTCTGTCTGCTCTGCTGGACTCCTCCATGCCTCCAAGCCCTTCCCAGCTGTTTTCCTCCCCTACACACCACATACAGAACCATTCAGAGCCAGGAGAAATGAACATTTTAGGAAGCTGTGCAAGAGAAGAGTACTAAGGCTAGCAGGGAACTGGAGAGGGGGAGACACCATAAAAGGGAGTCATACTTTACCAATTTCCCATTGAGTAGAGTAATCCAATTAACCTGATTTTGTGTCTCATTTTGTTCTAAAGCGAGAAAGTTATGCAATTCTGAGTTTGATAAAGACTGCCTGCCAGTAACATGGACTCCATCACTCAAGAATAAAACGTTCTAGTTACATCACTATATTATTTTGTTTTACAAAAAAAAGAACAAGGAATTGAGAATCTATGATAGGATTTTTGTTACTATTGTAAAGGAGTACTCTATTCTTTTTGCTGACATATTTAAATACATACTTAAGATTCCTCAATAAAAATTGGTTACTGTGGAGACTACTTTCCTTTAAAGTGGGTTAATTTACAAACAGGTTGTCTTAACTTCAGTCTTGGTGAAAAAATTCTTCTCCCATTGGTAACCCTCCCTAAATGAGACTTGAGTTATATATTGAAAGGTAAGAAGGGCTATACTTCCTTTTAAATTTTAGTTAAACAAATGAAAGAACAGCTCTCCAGCCGTCATTTGACATCCTAAACTTGTCAGAGCCAATGACCCACAGCAATTTTCCTACTGAAAAAGTTATTACATTTTCAAATTTGATTGTAATCAAATAATCTTTAGTACTGTGCACTGGATTTCAGCTAGCAAAATCCAATAAACTGGGTTTTATCTTCCTTTTCTTCTACCACTTGACAACAAGTAAACTCTCGTGAACATCCCTATTTGAAGGGTGCCGTAATTCAGAAGCCCCATGTCCAGTTCACTTTAAATCTGATAAAAAAACCAACAACCACCCTGTATCTTGAACCCAGACTTACTGCTCTGAACTTTGAGAGTGATATAACTATTTGTGGGGATTTCAGAGAGGGGCTAAAATCAAGCTTATAGTGGAACCTCAATTATAACTGGCCACTTTTATAATAAATGTTAAAATAAAAAGTATCTGTTTGAAAGAAAATGTGATGTTGACATAACCACTGTAACATTTTCCAAAGCATAGCTTGTTTTACAATCTTAAAAGCACTTACAATTTTTAAAATTTCACCTTCATATAGACACAACTATTGCATTGTCTCAATCCTATTCAGAAGTGATGCTTACCATTTACAATTGGATTTCCTTCAGTCTATACATGAAAATGATGAAATATGAAAACAAGATAATATTAGCTGGGCTCAGTTCCTTGCTTGCCATTTTAAAAGAAAAATAAGAATAAGTGAAAAATGAGGAAAATGTGGAGTGAAACTGAAGCATACAAAAAAGTTTCATTTTGTCAGTGTTCAAACAAAACTACTTTGTTTAAATAATTGCTAACAAAAATCCATTCATTTAAAAACTGATAGCTTAAAATTAACCTTGGTAAGATACAAACAAATAATTAATACCACTGAATTTGCATTGATTCAAGATGGTATACATGAAAACTGATTTTCAAAATAAAGAATAAAACTTTAAGGCTACCAGCACAACCATCTAATTATTTTTATTAGCTATGAATCCTGTCTGCACAACACTTTAAGATTTAATTATTCCAGTTACAAACATTTGTAAAAAATAGAATTATGAAAATTTACAATGTGTAATCTACATAGTCATACTACAGAAGAGTCCTGCTATAGACAGTTATTAGAAATGTGAAATTTTCATTAAAAAACTCAAGCTTAAAATGAACCTCTACTATGAAACTGGAAATTTCAACATTTGTCACAAATACTAACTGAGGTTTACTAACGTGCTTGTCATATACATAACAAGGGTGGGTCAATTATTTATTTATTTCTAAAGAGGCAAAGTCTGTTTGGAGAGCTTCATCTCGGTCCCCACTTAATATCTTTTACACCATGAAACTGTCTTTTCAAAGCATGACTGTCTGCCCATTCTGAATTTAAATAGGCGTCATCATCATTTTCTTCTAATTTCTGCAAATAAAATTAACAAAGAAGCTTTTATGAAATAATTGAAAAGAGACTTAGTTATATTTGCTTCACTCTATTTGTGTCATGTAACACAGTAGAATCACTTGTTACCTTGAGTTCCTCCTGCTTCCTGTGATAATACAGCATCATCTGTTTTTGCTCTTCATTACTTATCACCGGTTCACGTGATGGGGCACCTTGTCCTTTCTGGAAGTAAATTGATAAAATTTATTCATGATGGTATGTTCAGTACAAAAAAAAAAAAAAAAAAAAGTACACAAGAATCTTAAGGTGCTAAACAAATATTTCCTCAAACAGTAAGTCTTCAAGTTTCATGGCTTTATATAAGACAGAAGAATCAACGTTAAAGTTTAATTTAACTGAGAAATATTCCTCTATTTCTGGGCCCAATCAGTTACATTAAAGTCAAGGGAGTTGTGAGCTTGATGATTAGGCCTCTGTCTATTTTATTTACGAACTTAAAAATATTGAAATTTCTATAATAGTAATTAACAAAATCTTTCAGAAAACTTTAGCCTATAATCACGGACATCAATGGCAAAGTTGTCATTGGCTTTAATGGTGCAGGATGAGGGCTGCAATTCTTAAGGTTACAAAACAAACTCAATAATAAAACATTTTTTTAAATGTCTTGTTTAAATTCTATTTTTCCACAATTTAAAATTCTTAAAGATGTCTCACTATTGTCCTCATATACATAACAATCTTAGTATCTAAATTTGTGAAGCACATGATGTGCTTCCCCCCCAATTATGTTGAATTTTAAATTCAAAGACTAGTTTTATCCATGTTCAGTTTGTCTATGTACACTGTACTCATGACACTGAAACAGTTTAATCCATGAGAAGCAATTAAAATTTACATTTTAACATAAGTATACTTAGATTTCATCTTTAATCATGGATACGAAGGATGGTACAAATGCTAGTGTAACATCTATGTACGAAATTAAATAGTATAGATAAATCTCTCTGCACATCCCAGAAACAGGCCTACATAACAAATAATAAAATAGGCTATTTCAATGACAGCAGATGACTGCTCAGCACTTGCAAAAGGCAGGTTGCTTACTAAAGTGCCTAAATATGGCTTTATGTGCCTAAATTTAGGTACTCATTTTTGAAAATCTTGGCCCAGGATGTTAATGTGTAGAATACTTAAGGTATAATATCCACAAATATGACCAGGAATCTGGGTTTGTTCCTCATTGGAATGAAACCAAATTGCCAACATTTCTTGGTGAATCAAAAATTTCATTTAGGAAACCAAAACATGGTGTTTCCAAAACCAAATATATGAAATTGACATTCTAGTCAGTTTCATTGTGCTGCTGTTCCTAGGGGTCTGCAGCTCTGGGGCAGGCAGCTCCACTATGCAGACTGTCCCAGGGCCAGGAACGTGACTGCTGTATGCACACTGAACAGATCACAATCTTCAAAAGGGAGATCCCTTATCTTCATTTGGACCTCTTTTGGTAGTCCTGAAGACTGGAGCCATGAAGCCCTGACAATGGAAGTGGCTACTGAGAGTGCTGCCAGATCCTAAGCACTTAATGCAACCTATACTGACGTTCAAGCTACGAACAGTCCTTAAGCCAATAACTTTCAGTTCCTCCCTATGTTCTTGAGGGAGTTTCTCTATAAATCGTGTTACCTTGTCCAAATTAAGGTAATCAGATTTTGACAGAAGCTCCTGGTAATTTGAGATACACATCTACAGACTTGATAATGAATGCATCTTTTTGCCAAATAAATCTAGCTTTTTGGGGTCTTTGTTTTGCAGTATCATCTTTGTGGGCCTCTGCTGATGTCACTACCAGTGACCAGGATCTGGGTATATGTAAAAATCATTTAGATCTCTTGGAGGGGACTTGAGCTACCGTATCTGGTGTTCCCCCCACCACTGGAGCTGAAGAGCTGACTAGTACTGTAGCAGTACTACTAAACAATGAAGCAAAACACGTTCTATTGGCTGAGAAGAGCAATGGTGACTCATGTTGTGTAGTCTCTGCAAGATCACGTGGTACTGAGAAGAACGTCAGTATCAAGAAAGCTGGTGCCAGAAGCATATGCACTACAGGGGTCAGCTCCTCAGTCATGGTGCCGGGACCACATGTGCTAATACTAAGACAGTTTGGTACTGAGAAGTTGGTACCAAGTGAACTGCGGACTGCTATATCAGAGGGTACCATGTGTACTTGGTGACCAGATTTTGCTAAAACAGCCAACAACCCAATCTGAGCTGTAAACTGCCTTTTGGGTGAGTGACCTGAAAAGATCTTTGCCTCATTTTACTAGGCCCTGGGAAAGGTGACCTAGGCCTGTGCTCACTGTGGGAACAATGTTCCTGCCTGTGCCTTTCACATGACTGGGTGGTGGAGGAGGACTTAGCTGACAGTCCTGGGCATTGAAGGGTTTGATCTCTTTGAAGCAAGGTTGGAGTTGAGCCACAGCTCAGAGGAGCATTAGCTGAGGAAGAATGTTCAAGCCCTTTTTTCTCTGTTTCCAAGGAAGCTCTCACTGAGTACTCTGGAAGAGTTTAAGACAGGCCTCTCTCACCTTGTGTGTCCTCTTGGTGAAGGAGCAACACACTGAGCATCTATTAGGGATGATGTGCCCCTCGCCAAGACACAAAAGGCAGCTTGAGTGATTGTCATTGAACAGAAAAGCCTCATCAAAGACGAGGCAAGTTTTGAACCCTCCGGGCTTTGTTTCAGCCATAATCCTAGATACATCCCGTACTGGGGAAGTCCCTAGCACAAACAAATAAAGTGTTTGTTTTTTGTTTTTTAAAGTGAGAGGGCCAATGGGTATAAAGAGAGGAAAAATTAAGCTTACCACATTACCTATCCTCACACACACGGAAAGTCACATAATACACAAGGAAGTAGACACTGCAGGGGTTCTGTCTAGCAGCCACAGTCAGTAAGAAGGAATGGAAGGATGGTTGGACATACTCCACCCTTTATGACTTCAGGTGTGAGGGGATGCAGCGAGGGCATCCAAGGTGCAGATGCAACCCCAACGGACACTGGTGGCCAAAATAATCTGATCTCTCACATTGGATGCACATGTATCAGAAAGAGAATCCATGAGGACAATCACTTGAAGAACAAATTTTTTATCTCAACTTCCAGCAAATGACATTTTTATTTCATTTTTAGTCTAATGTGAACCTTAATATCTGCAATTTTTGGTTGTTCTTTCAAAAGTATATTCTGTAATATTGGCAGGATTTCACTTTAACTCAGTTTTGGTTTTATAACCTTAAGAGATCCAAGCTGAAATTAACTAGATCCATTTTCTAAATCTATTAGAAATTCTCTGTAAAAAAGTCAGTGCTGAATCATAAGTAGAGACTGACAGTAATACTCACTTTCTGTATCTTGACAATGATTTTAGTTTTTTCATTTTTGCCCACAAAGTCTGAAAGTTTGTTTGTTCTTTTTAACTCCTTTGCTGCCCACCACAATTGTGCTTCAGACTCTTCAATAACCTCAAGTCCAGCCTGTGACAATTATAATTTACAAGAAAAAAATGACACTAGTAATTTTTGCATAAACAGAGACTCTTGCAGCAACCTTCCATAGTCAGTTTATAAGATGATCCCTCTGGGATTAACAACAAAAAGCTCAGTTAATATTTAAAATTCTCTTGGTTTTACACTCTATCCTTATTAAAAAAGGGTTACTGCTATACCTTTCTTCCTCTGATCTCAATCTGTAGTGTCTTGGTCATCCAATACAGTACTATCCTCCTCAATTCTGACTCCAGTTTTATCACTCAAAATGTTTAATTCTCATAGGTGTTTAAAATGGACAACCAAATAAACCCACATGAACTCACATTAGTATGGGGCATTTTAACTGAATATATGTTTGTTCATCTTATTTTTAATTAATTTATTGACATTTCATGTACTTTTAAAAACCATTAGAGACAAAAATATTTAGAAACCAACAAAAAAAATCAAATAATCACTGTCACATAAAATGAAGAATTTCTCTTTCCTTTCCTTGGAGAGCATAAATTAAACCCAGACACTGTATATAACCCAAATATGTTACTACATACGTGAGTTCCCGACAAGTCTTCTTTATCTTCAAACTCCATTCTAATTGGATCATGTGGAGGCAATCCCATCGGATAAACAATCATTACAGCTCCTCGGAGCTGGTCCAGTGCATCTTTCACCATCTCCATATTAACACATACGTTAGCTTGAACTTGTTTCTGAGATACAGACAGGAGCCATTGTTAAAATTTAAACAAAGTAATTAAGTTAGGAGGAAAGCATCTGTTTTGCAATCAGTTCATAATGTTAAACAGTGTGATATTTAAATGAAGCCAACTGGCTAAACAGAAACTTATGTCAGAGCAAATCACTCTTAGTTCTCTTTATCCTGATTCATAAAACAGCTGCACATAGAATAACAAGACAAAAGTTTACTGCTATTTGCTTTTATTGGCAAAGAAATGAAATCTCAAATATCCATTAAATGCCTGCTACACAACTTAATAATAAAATTTCTGCTGTAGCTGTCTATTGAACACAGACATTCAAATAAGCATGCCGATGACTGTAGAAACTGGAGGGGGAAATCTCTTATTTTGACTATTTGTGATTCATGGACAAAAGTAGTAAAAGTCAAATGAGGGTTAGAAAGGGGGTCCTATGGACCTGAGCCTTCAGGTAAAAGAGCACCTGCAAATGAAAGACACGAATGAGCAAAACACAAATGGGATCTGCTCTAAGGCAATGCTTAGCACTCTGTGCAGCTCATACAGAGATTTGTAGCAGCACAGACACTTAATTGCCATATGATTGGAAGAGAGACAAGGTAGATGAGGTAGTATCTTTTATTGGACCAACTTCTGTTGGTGACCTGAAGAAGAGCTCTGTGTAAGCTTGTCTCTCTCACCAACAGAAGTTGGTTCAGTAAAAGATATTAGCTCACTCACCTTGTCTCTCTAATATCCTGGGACTGACGCAGCTCCTACACCGCATACAACATATGATTGGAATAATCATTGCACAGATGAGAAGAAACAAGAAGCAGCTGAAACAAACTTTTATAGTTCACTAATGAATTTTGCCTCACCAAAGTTTTCAATACAGGGAGTTATAAAAAGGAGACTAAAAGAATGATGCCTCCTTGTGGACGTTATTAGCCTCAATAGCTGGTAAGTATAATATATTGTTCCCCAATCTGCAAGACCAAACTTGGCAAGAAAAGTAGTGTGTGTGTTCATTTTCATCATTATGGACTGATAATCTGAAAACAAATTAATCTCCAAACCCAAGCGGGGAGAGGGATAGCTCAGTGGTTTGAGCATTGGCCTGCTAAACCCCAGGGTTGTGAGTTTAATCCTTGAGGGGGCCACTTAGGGACCTAGAGCAAAATGAGTACTTGGTCTGCTAGTGAAGGCAGGGGGCTGGACTCAATGACTTTTCAGGGTCCCTTCCAGTTCTATGAGATAAGTGTATCTCCATATATTATTTATTTGTAAGTTGACCATATTTTTAGGCACTTAACTATAAATAATGTATATGCAAATAAAAAACACGTTTTCACCTTTCATCCAAAAGCAACCCAAAACACTTCACATAAATACAATATATAAATAATTTCAACCCACTACTTACATGCAGCATCCTCCAGGGTGAAACACAGCAATGTTATGTAATAGTTATGGTCAGGTAATGAAAATACAGTATCTAGCTGCAAATTTCATGCAGGCTTTCCTCTAGAGCAGAGACCAAATCTGCAGTATTCAATTTAGCAAGGGACATAAAATTGCATCTCAGCACTATTCTAATAATCTACCTCATATTTAGAAATGATATTGCCAAGAGGCCTCATATATATGAGCTGCTGAGATGTCCAGCATGACCAGAATGGCCAAATGGCAATAATCTAAAACCAGGAGATCATCATTCATGGCTCTCATAAGCAGGGTCACTACAGGGGGATTGCTGAACCCAAACTGGAACGCATGTAAAGATGTCAGTAGTGCCTAAACCGTGAATGGAATGGTCACTGTTTTCGAAATCGCATCACGGAAAATGGGGAGGTAGGAGACTGGACAACAATTGGAAAAAATCTATAATCAAATGGCAGTTTCTTGAGGACAAGCGGTGCATGTTTGCAAAATGGTCAACATCCTTGCTAAGTGGAACACTGATAATCCCTATCAGTGATGATATTATAGCTACATCACCTGTTTTAAACAACCAAGATGGATCAGAGTCAAGTGATGCAGGCGGGAAACCCAAAACACCAGACACATCAAAATAAGAAACCAAACTGAACATGACAGGAAATCAGGAACTCCTGACTCTCTTAATTATAGACTCAGAGACCAATTCTGAGTTCTAGTTTAATGTTTTCACCCCTCAGCTAAAAAAAAAAAAAAAAATCACATCAACCAGCTGAAGGAACAAACATGGAGAGGGATGGGTGAAGAGTCAATCATGATTAATCAAACTGCTCACTAACAAATATTTCAGCTGGAAGGTTCCTTGCAATGTCCATGGACAAGGACAAGTTATATCTCTGCCTCAGTCAGTGCAATAGTGTGCCTTCATAAAATCATTGCACAGAAGATGATCAGGTTACAGACGGCTCTCCAGCCATCTTCTCTCCAATCTGTGCCCCAAATCCTATAGGTTCCTGAGAAATCATTATGGCATCTGGGAACACAACGCAAAGAGTATACAGGTTGCAAGCATGCTCCAGCACAGTGGTCACCAACCAGTTGTTCCTAGAGGCTCTTCCGGTTGATCACGGTCTCTGGTGGCACAGCGTGGCTGCCGCTAAGGTAGGGTCCCTGCCTACCCGGCCCCACGCCGCTCCTGGAAGCGGGCAGGCGTCTCTCTCCGGGTGCTGCTCCTGCCTGCGAGCACTGCCCCCGGAGCTCCCATTGGCCTGGAGAGCTGTGGGGGCGGTGCTTGCAGAGAAGGGCAGTGTGTGGAGCCATCTGCCCCCCAACCAGGAGCTGCCGGAGGTAATTGCTGCCCAGTGGGAGGCCGCACCCCAACCCCCAGCCCCCTCCCTGAGCCTGCACCCCATACCCCCTCCTGCACCCTGAACCCCAGCCCTGACCCCCCTCCCAGAGCCAGCACCCTGTACTCCCTCCTGCACTCTGCCCCAGCCCAGAGCCTCCTCCTGCACCCAAACTCCCTCCCAGAGCCAGCACCCTGCACCCCATCCTGTTCCCCAACACTCTGCCCCAGCCCAGAGCCTGCTCCTGTACCCAAACTCCCTCCCAGACCCTGCACCCCCTCCTGCAACCCAACACTCTGCCCCAGCCCAGAGCTTCCTCCTGCACCCAAACTCCGTCCCAGAACCTGCACCTCCACACTCTGCCCCAGCCCAGAGCCCCCTCCTGTACCCAAACTCCCTCCTAGAGCTTGCAGCCCTCACCCCCTCCTGCACCCTAATCCCCTGTCCCAGGCTCAGCCCAGAGCCCCCTCCCACACTGCGAACCCCTTGGTCCCAGCCCAGAGCCTGCACCCCCTCCTGAACCCCAACCCCCTACCCCAGCCCAGTGGAAGTGAGTGAGGGTTGGGGAGAGTGAGCAAGGGAGAGAGGGGGGATGGAGTGAGCAGGGCAGGGCTTTGGGGAAGGGGCGGGGTAGATCCTGGGTTGCCCTTAGATTCAAAACGTGATCTTGGGCATAAAAAGGTTGGAGACCACTACTCTAGCAGCTAGTAGCAGTTGGTAAGCTGATCAATACCTGTGGCTAGCAAGGGGATGCTATCAGATATGACTTCGCACCAGAGACCAAAAAAAATCCACAGGATGCATTGACACCCAAGTCTGAAGAAATAATGCAGCACTAATGCCACTATAGATGTAGAATAGCCCCCAACCTAAAAAAAGTATCAATTAGCATGTTCATTTTAAACCTAATGGGACCAAAAAACAGTAATATAAATCCCCATTGTTTGCAACATTTCTCCGTCAGCTTATGTATTTTAGAAGAATTTCAAAGAGCCACGGTTTACAAGGAAAAGTATATGAATAAAAAGTCATTACTGCATTTGTGCTTCTGTCATAAACAAGTAGTGTGTCAACATAAAATATACAGCTATTCTTAAAGTGGAATTGAATAATTTAGGCCTCAATCCTGCAAAGACATACGAGTCTGCCTAGCTCCACTGAACTCAATGTGACTACACGTGATTAAATTTAAGCATGTGGATAAGCTTTGGAAGGATTGGGGCTTAAATCATCTATGGTATGAAAAAGTGATAACATAGGACTGGAAGGAACCCTGGGTTGTCGAGTCAAATCCCTTGTTATTGCAGACCACCTCATTTCAATTACTTTAATATTTACTCAATTATATGTAAAACTACAGCACACTACATTAATGAGCAATAGGTATTTTAATCTACAAATTTCTGAATGTAGTTAATTTTTTCATTAGAAAACTTGACAAGCATTCACTCAAAGAATGTATCAGTAACAAATAAAAAATGAAGAGCATGTGGGTGGAATGAAATGTGGTTTAATCATTTAATGCAAAATTTGTGATGCCAGCATTCACTCAGAGTTTAATATCTGATCCTGTAACGCTCTGAAAAAAATCTTGCCACAAGTCATTAAGAAAATGATTAATAGGAGTTCCACAGTTTTTATCAGACTATTCAAATTATTTCACATTGCAACTGGAAATTACTGTCCTTTGCACTCAAATGAAAAATTAATTAGTTATTTTTGAAAAACAGAAGAGCTATGTAGCATCCATAACATTTTTGAAAGATTCAGTGTCACTTTAAAATCTTACCTTAGATATTTGTGCTTTAGCTTCCTCTACTGTCTTTTTTAAAACTTCTTTCATTTTTTCATTTGGAGCTTAAAAACAATAGATGCATCTTTAATACATACACTAACATTTCTTGCTATAAAAATCTGCCTAAATATGCCATATATTATTATTATCTACTGTAAGCAAGTTAATTTAAAAACTACTAAATCACAAATCCAGAAGGCATCCTACTTAGTTTCACTCTATTTATAAGTCTACAAATTCATAATCAAGTTTCTTGATTGTACTCTAAACATGAAACAAAAACACTATTTTACAATTGAGGGTAAGATTTATGACATGCACCCAGAAGGTCACTTTGATAGGGCTTTGCCTTTTAAATGGTCTTGTTATACTGAAACATCATGTAAAGCTTGACTCTCCTGTATTAGCTCTGTCTCATATTGTATGTATTATTTTCTGTCAGTCTCTACTGTGTACAATTCTGAGCTATGCTTTTATGGGAACTTGAGCTTTGAATTTCTTGACCTTTAATTTTAAATGTGGTTACTTTAAAAAATAGAAAAAGAAACAAATAAAAATAAAAACAAAAGGGTCATTACACCTTCCTTCTGTTAAAGGTCATTATGGTGTTGGGCATAGAAACTGAGAACAAGGAAACGGTCTCTTCTGTGATCTCAATGATTACACCGCTGGCACCTTGGCAGTGAGAAAACGAGGAGGAAGCTGCCTGATTTCAATGAAGGTAGATGAGGGAAAAGGAGAGAAAAGAAAGAGAGGGGGAAATCTTCGTTAAATAAGGCCCGAGGCCATCTAATGAATGAGGAGAAAAAGAAATCTTAAATAACTATCCATTCACTAAATGAGGCTGGGGTCCTGTGGAAAAAATAGTATGTGATCATGTTATTAATAACTATATCTAGGGGCTGAATAATCGTTGCACAGGCAACCTTAATTTTGAAATTTCCTAATTTTTGAGTACTTGACTTTGCAACCCTATTGTTCTTTTAACAATTTTTGTGTGGATGTTATCTAAAATATGTGTTGAGGAAAAGCAGTATAGTGTTATTTATTCTTGATTAATATCAGCATTAAGTCAAGTCTAAATCCAAGACCTGATGTGGCAAGTCCCATTTCTTGTGAGATTGCAGCCAAACAAGTAGTTTCTATGGGTTTAATTGCTGTCCAATACTACTTGAACTGCCTTTATAAATAACTTTATAATTATGTACTTTACAGGAAATGGACTGGCTGGCAGATATTCCAATTGGCATAATTTTAAACTATACACTAACATCTACTTGTTTTTCTCTTATTTAAGAGTTTTGAGATTAAATTATAGGTTTGTTGTTATGAATTCAACAGCATTAGTCAAAATATCAAATAATTTTAAGTTCCTCATGAAACTATGTCTTAGTTATGCTCATACAGAGATATGCATGTTTAAGATGCATTTACCATGTCCATTCCTTCGTCCAATTTCATCCTTTTTAAAGACACTTCCACCACTTGGTACACATTTATCTGCCCATTCATCCTTTAATTTCAAATCTTCAATCTGTTCATCTGTCAGTCCTTGCATATTAGGAGGCAAGAAGACACCATGTTCTGCCAGTTCCTCCATTTCTTAAAAAACAAGGTCAGAATTTAGAAGCAGAAAACAATGTTATGTCAAAGGCACTTATTTGAACAACAGGCTAAGTTTCAGCTTTTAAAGAGCTGCAAAGAGGGACTTTTGTAAGCACATATACAGTAGTTCCACCTGCTGTTTTGCTGCCACCACCTTTTTCTAGTGATAATTCCTAAATCTCCTTTGCTTAATTTCACATTTTTTGAGTAGTTAAACGAACAAATTTGAAAAATGGCACAACTATACTTTATTGTGATATACAGTTTAATATTTTTTTTTTTTTAAATCTGATGTGGGAAGAGAACCTAAAACACCAAAGTATTGAAATTTGGTTTTGCCAACTTTTAGACTTCATGCTTGTGGAAAATGTTGTTGCATTATGATATCCTGATTTTTATACTGAAATGCTGTCTCTACGTTAAGTCAGGCCTGAGAAGTTTTGAGAACTGTTTTAATGACTGTAAAGTAACGAGGCATCAAAATAATATACATTGAAATAAAGAAACGGGTTTTAACCCTACTTTGAAATACCAAAAAGCAACACAGAACCTATGACTGACAACAGAATTTCGCCAGCTAAGAGAAATGCATACAAATGGGTACAAGCACTGATCCAGAAGCTAGAAGTGAGGACAGCACATGGCTGCTGTTCCCTACTCATTCAGGAGCATGGATGGCAAACATAAATGGAAGCTGCTTGTTCCTCTGGCCTGGCCAAAGTATCATCATCAGCGACTACCATGAGGGTCCCTTTCTGTGGTTAATTTTTGAGCTGCCTGAAAAATAGAAATCCCTTTTAATGAAAAACAGTTTAAAACAAAACAAAACTGCCCTGAATCAGGATGAAACATCAAAAATGCAAAAAAATGTCCAGGATGGGTTTTTTGACAAAAAATTCATTTTGGGAGAGCCAGGGAGTTCAGCCCTCCCCACATGCTCTGGGGTCAAAGAAGCTGCCTCTCCAGCTCCCAAAGCTATGGGGAGGGGGACAAGGGAGGGGGGAGAAGAAACAGAGCCCCTCTTTTTGATTTTCAGCAAAACCGACATTTTCCTGCCAAAAATTTCAGTTTTACAAAAGCATATTTTTTTGTTTTGAAAATCATTCCGATGAAAATTTTTGATCAGCTCTACTCTGTTCCCAGTTCTGCCACTGGCTTCCTCTATGACCTTCGCCAACTTAAAAAGAACAGGAGTACTTGTGGCACCTCAGAGACTAACAAATTTATTTGAGCATATGCTTTTGTGGGCTACAGCCCACTTCTTCGGATGCATAGAATGGAACACACAGAAAGAAGATATTTATACATACAGAGAGCATGAAAAGGTGGGAGTTGCCCTACCAACTGTAAGAGGCCAATCAATTGAGATGAGCTATCATCAGCAGGAGAGAGAAAAAAAACCTTTGACGTGATAATCGAGATAACCCATAGAAGGTGTGAGGATATTTTAACATGGGGAAATAGATTCAATTAGTGTAATGACCCAACCATTCCCAGTCTCTCTTCAAACTAAGCCAACTTAGTTACTCTCTCTGTGCCTCAGTTCCCCAACTGTGACATGAGGATAGCAGTACTTGCCTACTGCACATTAATAGCTATGAGGCTTTCAGATACTGTGGTAATGGGGCCACATAAGTACAAGAGATAGAATTCCCTGGTCGCTTGTGTGGTGTATGGATTTGGCTAGTACCTGAGCAAATACGCTGCACTTTGAGTCTGCTATTGTAGATCCTGGTGACTTGCTGTGTTAAGTCTTCCAAGGAGATGCTGCAGGTTGTTTCCAGCAGGAATTGGCTCTCGTCGCCACGCTTCACATGGAGCTGAACCATTTCTGCAGAGACAGAAAGGAGATGGGAGTTGCTGGCTCCAATTTCCTGTCAGATCAAACAGAGAGAGAGAGAGAGAGATCAGGGCAAAAGCACTGAGAACCAGGCAATGGTGCGCTACCAACATTTTAACAAGGGACAAGCAACTTCCCTGCTAGCTGCAGCCAGGAGTGGGAAGGAGGACGAGGGAGGGAAATCTATTAGTTTCTGATTAAACAAAAATGTTCTTGTCACCATCAAGAAGTGCTGCAGCTGCGTATGGGGGGGACTCTATGGGGGCCCTGGGGTGTACGGGGGGTGCCGCGTGCGGGCAGCCGGGGCCCATAGGGGTGTGTGCGGGGGGGGAGGGGTGCGCACTTTGCGGTGCACGGGAGGGGGGGTGCCCGGCCTGGCTCCTCCCCAGCCTCTCACCCGGCCCGGGGCCCGGGATTCGCTCCGCAGCGGCACGAGCCGGCCGCGTGTCCGATCCGCCGCTCCCCGGAAGGGCCGGAGCCACCTCTCCGCAGCAGCAACCACCGCGTCCCTAGAAACCAACCGCCGGGAAGGAGGAGGGGGCGGGCGCAGGTCGGGAGCCTCCGCGAATGGTGGGGCCAGGCCGGCTCCGCACCTCAGCGCATGCGCCAGAGGAGCGCGCCCGCCCCGGAATCACCGCCGCCAGGAGGCGGGGCCGTGTCGCGAGGCCGGTTCTTAAAGGGCCAGTCCCGGCCTGGCAGGGCGCGGAGGCAGAAGTCGGCAGTGGCAGGAACCAGCCCCGCCCGCCGTGGCGAAGCGGGAGGCCCGGCCTAGGAAAGGCCCCCGAAATACTCCGGCCCAGATCCCCCAGGCCCGGCACAGCGACCTCCCGCTGCAGCAGCCCCACGGGGGGGGGGATCTGCTCCCCCAGCCCAGGTCCCCCGTGTCCTGACCTCTGCCCCGGGCCCTGCAGCCCCTCCCCACATGCGCCTGTCCTGGGGGCTCCCCAGCCCCAAACCCAGCTACCCCTCCCTCCAGGGGAACATACGTTATCCTAGAGCACCCCAGGGACGCTGCCCTAAAGTCCCGCCCCGTGCCCGGACCCCTGATATACCCCAAACCTAGCAGCCGCCTCCAGCCACTGCGCTGCCTTCATTGCAGCACTGAGCTGCACAGCGCCCGCCCGCCCGCTCTCCCCGCGCCCGACCCTGCCTCGCATGTAGTAGCAGTGCTCGTGCCCCGCCCCCGGGGGACCTGGTTCTCACCCTTCCTAGACTACCCCACTGTGCCCCTTTCAGAGTCTGAGTTGTCTTGCGTACCCCCAACTTTCACCGCACTTAACTACTTGCTTACAAAATCAGACAGACATACAAAAGTGCCACAGCCCCCCGTTACTGAAAAACTGCTTACTTTTTCAGTTTTACCATATAATTATAAAATACATCAATTGGAATAAAAATATTATACTTCCATTTCAGTGTGATACTTGAGCTTGTTTTTCATTTCTGAGCCTGGTCGTTCTGGGAAGCAGTGAAGCAAGAGCAACAATTAAAGTTTTTTTTCACATTAAGTCTATTCCTGTAGCCCAGGGGTTCTCAAACTGGGGGTCAGTCTCAGCCCCCAAGTCCCAATTCACCTCCAGCATTTAAAATAGTGTTAAATATTAAAAAGTGTTTTTAATTTAGAAATGGGGTTGCACTCACAGGCTTGCTGTGAGAAAGAGGTCACCAATACAAACATTTGAGAACCACTGCATCTAGTCTGTTGTAAAATGAGGCAAATACTGTATCAGTTGCTGTACCCCTGGCAGACCTCTGCGCACTCCCAAGGGTACACACCCCTGGTTCTAGGGTGACCAGACAGCAAATGTGAAAAATCGGGACGGGGGTGGGGGGTAATAGGAGCCTATATAAGAAAAAGACCCAAAAATCAGGACTGTCCCTATAAAACCGGGACATCTGGTCACCCTACCTGGTTCAGAACCACTGCCCTGTGGCACCTGTGCAGATCTGCCTAAGCGGTAGCCAAGCCATGATGATTGTCAGTGGGGCTTGGGGTGTTGCGTTCATGGCCACTGCTCAAGCCACAGCCTGGGCAAATGTTACGGGGGCAGTGGAGGAGGCATCACTACTGCTAAATACCACCCACAAGCAGCACAGCAAATCCATCTGGAGCTACTGTGTTCACGATTGGTATTTAGTGTGTGTATATATATGTTCTTGCATACTTTGAGGGGTGTGATGCCCCAAGAACCCCAGCCACAAACTGCCCCAACAGGACAGGGGTCCCATCAGTCCAGGCTAGAACAGACACATTGTCTAGAAGTTGCCTCTGTTGCTAACCTTGGCTGCGTTACCAACTCTCAGGATTTTATCATGGGTCTTGGGATAGCTGGTGTTTAGCTTAAAGGCCCAGGGACCACAGCAAGGGTTGACGCAGCAGTGGAGTTGACAGAGCCTTTGGCTGCACCTACTACCCTGGGAATTGTCAGCTCTTTGGCCCCTGCTAGTTTAATAGCAGCGCTACCAATAGTGGAATGACTGGTGTAGACCAGACCACTGACATTTTTATTTCTCTGTGCAGCATGTGATGACATGGTGGTGAAGAAACACTAGAGACCTGGCTACAGTAGTACTTTTACTAGTATAAGACAAGTGTGAATATAAAGCCTTTTGTGATATCATTTTTTCTTGATTTTTAATAAAAGATGTCAATACTTTTTAAAATGGCAGAAGGAAGCCCAGACAGCATGATAGTGGTAATAGTCAAGAGGGTAATTTCAGGGGTTTCTCTTTTTCCAGGCATGTATTATAAGGTGAGAGTTACCCTGCCTATAGTGGGCAGGGATGGGGAGTTGCCTTAAAACATAGAAAGGAATATAGCTCTAAAGAAATAGCACATCGCCTAGTGCCCTCAACACACCAGTCATGGCTGCAGCCATCCAAAGTGATTGCACAGCAGCCAGTCTCAATCTAGCTATGACAGGGATCAATGCCCATTCACTGTGAATAGACAGCAGATCCTGGTGGGAAAAATATCTACTTCTAATGCACTCCACACTAAAATAGCTGCACCTCTAACATAATTTACAAAACCTGAGAGAGGGTGCCTATCTGATCCAAAATCATTGCAAATTTGGGCACTTATTTTATACTTCCAGATCTATTAATATACGTAATGTTAAGCAGTTCACCACGTTACTGTGAAAATTAATTATCCATGGGTAAAAAGTCGTGTGACTAAGATTCTCAGAAAGTTACCATATGTTTTAAAAGGACCCTACTAATTCAGAAAAGTAGATTTTAAAGTTATCGATTCAAGCTGAATCGGAAATGTAAGAGAATGGAAGAATGATTTGATGGTGAAGGGGTCGTTTAATGAGGGCAGTGGCTATTCCTCCTCATTCAGAAGTAGAGGCAACAGCAGCAATGGAAGCTGCTTGTCCTCTGGCCCAGCTAAAAAGCAGCAACAGGAGGGATCGCTGTGTGGGTCTCTATTTGTGGTCAACATTATCCTTTAATTTAGGAGAGGAAGGACAGTCCTATGGTTAGGGTTTTAACCTGGGACTTCGGAGATTGGTCTTAATGTATAGCACTACCGCAGCACAGCTGCGCCACAATAGTGCTTTAGTGAAGATGCTACTACGCCAATGGGAGAGCTTCTCCCACTGGGGTAGTTAATCCACCTTCCTGAGAGATGGTAGCTATGTCGACAGGAGAAGCTCTCTTGTCAACATACTGCTGTCTACACAGAGGGTTAGGTTGAGATAACTACGACACTCAGGGGTGTGGAATTTTCACACCTCTGAGCAACGTAGTTATAAGTCAGTGTAGACCTGGCCTGAGATCCAACTCTCTGCTTTGCCTGTGATCTTGGTCCAGTCACTTACGCTCTGTGCCTCTGTTCTCCAATTGTGAAATGGAGATAACAGTACTTTCCTACCTCACAGGGGTATTGTGAGAATAAATGCATTACAGATCATGAGGCACTCACATATCGTGATAATAGGGTCCATGTAAGTACCTAAAATAAAAGAGAATAAAGATAAACTAAACTTCTTAAAGACAGGTGTATTTACTTCAATAATACATCACTGCATTTCACAGGATAGATACGGAATGTTGTATGCCACCGAGTTTTAATACTGCAGTTTTGTAAAGTATACAATCATAAATATTGTGTGCCACAAGCAGTAAAATTGTAACACATTAACAGAGCAATTTACTACGGGGAACACAATTCATGAAAATACGTTTAGCATTTCTAATTTTACTTCTCAGTATTTTAGTACTTTTGGTAGTAATTATTTCCAGTAATACACATTACAGTGGTTAGCTATTTGTACTATATATTTTAGCATCTTTTTGTGCAGTATTTTGTCAAACTCCTTAATCCCATACAAGTGTTGAGGTGCTGCATATTAAGTACATTTTAGACAGCAGTTTGTAAGCACTGTAATTAAATATTCATCAAGGAACATATTCATCACAAAACTGCAATTTGCACAAGCAAAGTTTCCAAAACAAAATTGTTTTGCTAATGTAAGACTGTATACCAAAACCACCAATCACACAGATGTTAATAGCCACAGTTTAAACTAGTTAATTCACATATTGAAGCACAAAGTTTATCACAGGTACTGTGTTTAAAATTTACAAGAACTTTTTAATGACCTGAACAGAAGAAAAGCACAATATAAAACTCACTACTGTAACTTCTATCCAACAGCATCTCCTAATTATACTGTTAAAGGAAGAATGGATTATTTCTGAATGGAATATTTTGATAGTATTGGAGAATTTAGAAGTAGTATTGTCATTCTTTTGCTGCTATAAATGTAATGCTAGTAAACTATGATTCACTTACAAATGGTGCAGAAATAGCATAATTTGTTTGCTAATAAGCCAGTAAGTGCAGGTGTGTATGGTGGCTCACCCCCAATACATCTCATAATAAAATTTTGATGCATTCCATTTTTGATGAATGTTCACAACTTTTTTATATAAAAGTCATGTTATAAAAGATACTGTGAATGGTAAGGAACATTACCATTTCTTTAGCATACACAAGTGTTGCTAAAGAAATCTGTGCTATTTTAAATTCCTTCAAGATACCAAAATACCACATTTTATGTAAATACCGTGAACTCCAGAAAACCATAGAAACAGGACCAGTTGCATGTTTACAGTATCCTATGCGAAAAGATGTAACCTCCACTGACTTCAAAGCAGCACAACAAATGTGGCGTTTACAACCTCTGGGAGAGGGAAGAATGCTGATAGAACAGTACCGTTCAGCTCAGAGGGTTGCTGCTCTCCTGCTTTCTCTGCTGAAGGCAAGGTTTTGAAAATATAGCAGTTAGTAGAGAGGGACGAAACTGGGCACAATGGTGCCCAGAACACACTCCTGAAGTCACAGCATAATTGCCTATTTCCTCACCCAGATCTTTACAGAGGACGAGAAACTCTTCTGGAATGACTGGGACACAAAAATGAGATAGCAGGAGATAAAGTAATTGAAATACATTGCTCTCCATTGAGGGAGCCTGTTTTTAAAAATCAAAGCAAAAGATGAAAAATGGGATTTATTTTTTAAGGGTGAAGAGAAAGACTTTTGTAATATCAGTAGTTTCCAATTTCTGGGGGGAAAAAAAGCCTTTAAGAGAGTGATGAATAAATGAACGAAATTGAATACTAAATAGCTATTCTAAGTTTACATCAACAAATGGTGGAAATTACTAGACACAAAAGTCAATAAATTTAATATTGACTATATTAGTACATGAGGTCTTGTTTGTATTTTGAAAGTAACTATTTTAATTTGTGCCTCAAATTTAAATATAATTAAGCCTTACTAATCTCCATAACCTCTGTTATAAATTACTTTCTAAATAGTACCTGTCCACATTCAATATTTTGATTAAACTTTGGCTGGTCTTTGGTAAATATTTATAAATATCAGTTACCAAACAGTAAAAAGGGACTGGAAGGGTCTAACATGTGGAAGTCTCTTGAGCATTTTGAAATTCCTCTGAGAACAGAAATGAAACTGCTTCATAAACAAAAACTAATTTCCAAAAGTGTTATACATTCTATTAGGATTAACTAATCCTTTCAATATGATTACATCTAAATTTATAGTAATTGTGGACAATTCTTTTGTGCACTA